GGGGGGGGGGGTCAATTTTATAAAATTAAGCTGATATTTTCTACTTGATGAGCTTTCTAAACTGCCAGTGCTTACAGTAGACCAATGGGCAGCCATGGAATGTGGAGCTGCTGCTGTTGCTCCGTCCTTCCATGAAGCATTGCTGTAGTATTTCATAAATTATAAACTTAAACTTTTAACATAACAAAAATACTCCATTTAGAGCTTTAAAAAAAAAAAAAAATCCAAAAAATTATGTCCCGTTTTCTCTCCATAACGGTTAGTGACTTTTAACAATGCAAAACATGTCCCATGTGTCCCTGGTCAAGGTTTGGTTAAGGTTCAGTGCAATAACAGCAAGCACAAACAAGGATGAAGTATTTAGTATGCTATAGAACTCATGTGCTTTTTGACCATTTATCACCTCTTTGATGCAATGTATTTTCTGTAAAATATTTCACAGAATCACCCGTCAGCCTTATAACATTTGTGCATACTTGTATACTGCCATTTAAGGTTAGGGGGTTGGGGGTGGGTGGGGCGGTCATCTTATCCTGAGTGGATGTGGTTCAGATCTGTCTTTGGTCAAACCAAACATTTCACAGCCGTTTGTGTCAGAGCCTACTTTTCATGACCCCCTGCTTGACAAACATTTGACTAACAGGGTCACTTGACAAAATTAATAGTATTTGAGGAAATCTGACCATTGATTGTTCTTGGGCAGTGAACCCTCTGGTAGTCTTACTAGTTTTTGTCACCAACTCCTTTATTGCAGTCTTTGGTCTTAAAATAAATTAATTTATGTTCAACTTCAACTGAATGTTATAAACTTTTTGAAGAAAAATCTGTGGTTCATTAACAAGGCAACATTAGTGTGAGATGTGCCAATGTGTTGAGAACAGGCAGTTGTTTCCAGGACATGCTGACATGTGTTGTTGATCTCATAGAATGAGACACAACATTTTTCTAATAGATGATTTTTGTCTGGTCAGTGGTCCAGCCAGTGGTCAGTTCACTGACACACACACATGCAGGATGCCCATCTGAGAGTTTCAAATCAGACTCAGTATTTCGTTGTGAGATGAGGCTTGAGATCATTCAATCCTTGAACATCATGATTTGACCGCTATGGTGCCAGCAGGCTGTTGACATTGTGTGGAGGCATCTTTGGTCCGTCAACAATAGTATCCACTGTTGGACTGTGTCTCGTGAAAGTCGTTGCTGCTCCTGAAGGCTGGGTTCTTTATCTCCAGGATTTTCTCAGCCTTGTAATACTTCCTTTCTTTGCACCTGAAAGACCAACAAAAAAAAAACTATCATAAGACGTTGTTTATATTTGTCTCTCATAATATTGGGTAAATAGCATTTATTTTTTTGCCATAGAATCAAAGGCATGTCGGCTCACTCTGACTGATCAAAATACGGCCATCCCATGTTAACAGCCACTTACCATTTAATAAACAGCAGCAGGAGTAGAAAAGCAAGGATGAGGCTCAATGTTCCAATAACTCCACCGGCAATGGCAGCTGTAAGGAGACAGAAAATAACACAATAATATGGGGGCGTGAAAGGATGCAGAGAAACGTGGGCTGATTGTTAAAACAAGTTAATGTTTCGTTTAGTAAACATGTTTTAGCCTTTTAAACTTCTAGTTGATGGCAAGTGCATAATCTTAGTTTGAGAACTCTTAATTTGAGAAAGGAGCTACGAGTTACAATTACTCCAATGTTGAACACTTACCAAAGGGCAGCTGTTTGGTGGAACTTTTGGAATCCCTGTACAGGGGTACTGTACTCTTGGATTGGTATTTCAGTGTGGACATCATGATGGAGTTGGCTCCCTTATCTTTGTTGTAGTCGCGGCTGTTCTTTCCGTCGGAGTCTTCATTTTGGGTAACCTCGACTGTGACTTGCCTGTTGTCTGTCACTGGAGGTGGGGTCAAAGAGGTTGGCAGTGGTGGGTTGGCTGTAAATAAACACACAACAACCTATAGGGGATGCTACATCTTCAGCGGATTCTTCTTATGTTCCTCAAACCTATTAAGTACATCAGACCCACTTACCCCATCAGCCCCCACCCACCCCATCATCAGACCACCCACCCTACAATCAGCCCCACCCACCCCACCATCAAACTCTATAGTCTATGAGCAATGTGTCAATGCCTGCTATTAAAACAGACCACACAACTGCACCCTACCTCGTCTTGTACAGTTCAATCCAAGTGTCATGAGCCCCTTACCTTCATAATAGAGCCAGAATCCCTTGCTCCGACCGCCGCTGCTGGACTGCAGCTCAATGTGGAGAAAGTTGGAGAGCATCGAGTAGCTGTTGTTGGTGCGCTGGCCGCACAAGGTAATGCTGCGCAGGTTGTCATTGAAGTAGAGCAGGTCTGCGCAGTCCGTGCGTCCCTTGTCCTCCAAGGACATCTCGATGATGTGCAGAGTTAGTTTCTGAGATGGCTGGACTAAAATGTTGGTGAAACATTCGCCCTGTGGATTCCAAAAAATGTGAAAACTACGGTCAGAATGGACGTGCTGCTTAATTAAGATGAGCAGTGGAATCAAAGACTGTCGTTGTGCGGTGATGTCTCATTTTAAACGTGAGTTCGAATGGGGTTGGGGGTGGGGGGGTGGGGTGGGGTTGGATTATTCCCGTGTAAGGGATGCATAGGTTGAAGGAGAAGAAAAGCGCTCCTCACCTGATTTGCGTAGTTGGCAGGATACCGTGGCGTCATGATGTAGCCGCTCTGTGCTGTCAACTTCTCGTTATTGCAGATATTTGTCACAGTTTTGGCTGGAAACGGGACAAAGAACACACTATGGTTAGAGAAAGAGGTCAAAACGTGTGTGTGTGTGTACATATGGACAATTTTTTTTATTTTTTCTGTCAACTCTATACATTTCCCCAAACTATTATACCCATCATTACCCCCACCACCTGTTTCCCTTATTATTTTTTTTTTGTTTCGAGGGATAATCTGCATCGCCCGTGCTTTCTTTAAGACCCGACTTTCAATTGTTTCTTCAAGTCCCTGTTGTCCAACGTCGGCTCGGTTCAAATGTTCTCCCGAGACCGTTAAATCCTGGCGAAGTAATCCTTTGACGTGCTGAGAATAGTCACGTGTTCGATGTCAGGGTGGACTACTCACGCCTAATCGGATCACGTGACACTGACAGAAGATCTAGAATTGCATTAGCATCCACGGAGAGTGCTCTCGAGTCATTTGGTTATTAGCCACATTGTCTGGGTCAGCACTTTTTACTTGACATGCCGGGGTGGGG